TTAAAAGAAAGAATAAAAGAAAAGAGAGGAAAGATTAAAGAAAAGAATGAAAGAAGAAACTAAAGAAAGAGAGAAAAATGATTTCAAAGAAAGAACGAAAGAAAGAAAGAAAGAAAGAAGGGTAGATAATAAAGAAATGATGAGAGAAAAGAAAAGAAAAGAAAAGAAAAGGAAATAATGAAGGAAAAAAGGAGCAAAGAAAAAAAGAATCAAAAGACAAAAAGAATAATAAGAAGAAGGAAAGAAAAAATAAGAAAAAGAAGGGAAAAAAGGAAAAAGAAAGACAAGAACAAAGAAGAGAAGAGAAAAATGATGACAGAAAAAAGAAAGGAAATAAAAAAATAAGTAAAGGAAGAAAGAAAGAAAGAAAGAAAGAAAGAAAGGAATAGACAAAGAAACAAAAGGAAGGAAGGAATAAACGAAAGTCATAAAGGAAGAAAAGAAATAAAACAAAAATAACAAAGAAAGAAAGAAATGAAAAGAAAGGACAGAAGCAAAAAGTAAAAAAAAGAAAGAAAAGAAAAAATAAAGAAAGAACGAATAGAGAAAAAGCATAGAAAGAAAATCTACGAAAATAATCTTTCTTCCCCTGTTGAACCAAAGTGGTATGGTCCGATATCACGCCACTGTGCCATTATGTAATGACACGTAGTTGGCTGACCTAAATTCAGCCGACAGTAGTGCCGCCTCTACCCAGCCGACACCACATCTTGCCATCTTCTTGTTTTTTATCCTTTGCATACTCTACGGGTACCGATATCCACCCTCACCCTGCTTCTACCCCGACCCAGAGTATTAGCTCCTTGAAACTTCGCTATGTCCGGATGGCCTGCAAAACGCTTCTCTCGTTTTCTTCGTATGTGTGTGTGTGTGTGTGTGTTGTGTTTGTTTTTTTGCGTGTGTGTGTATGCGCATGCGTGTGCTATTGACTTGGCCTTCTCTATTTCAGAGACTTGTTCAGCCTTCATCCTTTCTTCAACTGTATTGCAACTCTGTAACTCATCGTCCTAAGCAGTGTACTACGGGCAGCCCACGCCCACACAAAAGCTGCATTTCTCTACTGTGTTCTTTTTAGGTTTTTACCTATGTTTTCCTATTGCATGGTTTATATATGTAAATAATACGTCCCTCAGTCTCTCTCTCACAGACATTGTGTCGTCTCTCAAGTTTTCCTACACACGTGAACCATTCCACAAACTCCTACACAACACACCGTATGTGGGTATATATAGGTGTAGGTTTGGGAAAACAATTAAAATTCGAATCCAGTTTTTTCACGTTCTCATTTATTTTCATCAATGCAATAATATGCAAATTTTCATTAGAGAAGCGAAAGTTTTGTGATTGCATCTCATTGTTCTGCAGTGAGTCCATAAAAGACAGGAGCAAATATAAATCCAAAGATATAAATCTTATCTAATCTTTGAAGATGGGATTTGATTCTTTAGCGTCTGTGTTTCTCTATCGTAGATAAATATCTGGCAATCTATATTTATAAAAAAGATGTGAATCAGAGGCACACTCAGGTTTCTTTAAAGACAGTCAAGGTACTGCGATTAACCTTTTTATTTAATTTCTCTTGTACTCGTATGAGTAGTTAGTTTTCTGGATATAAAGTTCTTAAAAACTGTCTGTGAGTTCTGCATATGCAAGCGCTTTCGGCTATTCTTTTAGCCATTATCAAGGACTATTATATTTTTTTTATTTTTTTAACTGAATCTGTGTTTAAAAAAAAAACAAAAAAAAACGCACAGACTCAGTAAAAAATAAAAAAATAAATATTATCCTTGATATATACCTTACGTAACTGTTACCAGGAAGTTACAGGAATGTAATAGGAATGTTTTATTTATATTATACTTGATAATTTTATTAATATTATCCTTGATATATACATTACGTAACTGTTACCAGGAAGTTACAGGAATGTAATAAGAATGATTTATTTTCTAAACACGGTCAGCAAGTTGTGACCGTGTTCATAGGTGATGTTATTTAGTGTTGGTTTTTAATTTATTATTAATAGTACTTCCATTATTTTTTTTTTTTTTTACATGTGTATAAGGCTATAATACTTGTATTTTCTACTAGTATGGGGCGGATAGTATTTGTTAGGTTTCTGTGTATAGACACAGAACAACACAAATGAGTTTTAATTGAGATATGATCAGATAGGTGTAACGTGAGTCATCTAGATAGGCATGTAGTGGTATGACCAATATAATTGATGGGGAGTTTCATATGATCATTATTTAAGGTGTATGTGAATTCATAAATAATATTGGTTCTCTGTAATTTAGATTTTAACTATGAACAAAGTCATAATGTGCGGACTGGGTATAGAAAAGGATAACACAAACACAAACACACATCTATCTATCTATCTATCTATCGATCTATCTATCTATCGATCGATCGATCGATCGACGTGGTGTAATGTTTAGGAAGCTTGTCTTGCTAGATCAATTACGACTGATTAGTGAGTTCGATCCTTACTTTCGGCCTTGTGCCACATCCAAGCTGGGCTAAGAAAGTCGCTATCTATCTATCTATCTATCTATCTATCTATATATATATATATATATATATAGAGAGAGAGAGAGAGAGAGAGTGAGAGGGGGTAGATAGAGAGGGAGGGAAAGTGTTGTTCATGTCCTTAGATTTGATGCTAAGCAATGGTGTTAAACATGAGCAAAAAAAATCCTACATTGCCTTGATAAAGATCCTAAAGGGAAGAAACATATATATATATATATATATATATATATATATATATATATATATATATATATATATATAATCGAAATTATGGCCTATTTGTTCTTTATCTTATCATTCTAGTCAAATTACACACACACACACACACACACACACACACACACACACACACATATATATGTGTGTATATATGATGTAACATTATCTTCTATATGTGTGTATAAAAAAAGGATTGTATTTCACTTGTAAAAATCTTTAATGAATGTATTTCTGAAGGAAATTGTTTTTCAGAACAGGCAGTCATTGCAATAAAAAATATAGCAATCAAACTCAAATTAGATAATAAAAATTGTATATATATATATATATATATATATATATATATATTAATATATATATATATATATATATATATATATATATATATATATATAGATAGATAGAGAGAGAGAGAGAGAGAGACAGAGAGAGAGAGAGAACAAATTAAGCCAAGCTTCCAAATCACCTTTCAAAACATTGACTTTTAGGGTTGGTTTAAACATAAAACATTAGTACTGGATAAAATACGTATTTATTTTGGTAAAAAAAACAGTCACACTGATATACAATGTATGCGGTTAAAAATGTTGCTAATAATGATATACAACCAGGTGTCTCTGAAGATTTTAATTTTTTTAATATTTTTGTATTGTTCAAAGTAAAACACACACACACACACACACACACACATATATATATATATATATATATATATATATATATATATATATATATATATCCATAAATTTGTTTTTAACTGTCAAGTTGAACTCACCCTGGTGGTACTAACATGAAATTATAGTCGTGGTCAATCACTACTTAGTTTTTTTTATATATATATATATATATATATATATATATATATATATATATATATTGGCTTAGGGATGGAATCTCCGACTGACGACAATTCAACGGGTTTCTATCCTAACTAGAGGGAAACTGACGTCAACCCACATTGATGAGCTGTCATACAGCGAAACATGCTGTCTATATATATATATATATATATATATATATATATATATATATATGAAGAACAAATTAGATGTATTACAAAGGGGAAAAAGTTTTCGTGTGACACGATTCGACCTTTAGGACTTCATCAGACTAAGTTTATGCTTACGTCGATGCGACTACGCATGCGCAGGAACAAAACAGAGACGCTGATAATTTTACATATATTCATTAATGCGCATGTGTAGTCATATCAACACAAACCTAGTCAGATGGTGTCATAAAGGCCGAAGACCGTTTCCACTTAAGCATATTTTTTGAGGTGAAACCCAATTAAGATCAAACTTAAAAATATATTCGGAGATTTGACCTCTCATCTCAGCAGAGTTCACTGCATCCATTTACGTGCAAATACCCACTGCTTAGCTACAGGTGAAATAGTTGGACAGCGTTCTACAGCGTTGCTTGGCAACTATTCTGGAGATGAGTACTCGATAAAATCACCCACATGCCAGCAAATCAAGTTAATTACATTTAAATGCTTACACACTTACACAGGTAGAAGTGCAATGCATTCGTGTGTGTGCGTGTGGCAAACAGGGCTCAAATGATCTCGAAATATCCCGTCTACTCACGCGCGAACATACTTGCCAACGCCAAACGATCCATCAAATTGCCTCCTTCCCTTTATGTCGTCCGGTGCCATAAACTGTTTCTCGTCTAATTCTTCTGTTGTTCTGATAACGTTTCGTTATTAGTGCGCGCATCTTGACAGCCTATCAGCGAGTTTCACTCTCAACCAGATTATGACATTGCGTCAGCATCTACCTACTTCAACATGACGATTTAACTGACTCGGAATACAAAGATTTTTTTTTGTTCATTTTACGATTAATAAACCAGAGCTTCGATGTTCAACCTTCACTTTTTCAGAACTAAATATATGAGAAAAAGAAATTGAACATATATTAGTTTATACCAGTAGTTTCACACCAAACCGCAAATTGCTACGCAACCAAAACTCAAATCATATTCTTAAATCATTTCGTCTCATCGGTATTTTCATATGTTCCCAAGTCTGTTAAGAATTATCTAAACAGTATAGTACCGCTTCCTAAGATCAATGGTGAAGAAAAGGCTTTGAGCAAGTAATTCCTGGGGTCTTGCCAAATATTATCTTTCTTTGAACATTGTGGGATTGCGTCACAGAATCAAAAACAAAATAACAAAAAACATATCACTTGAATTCGACCATCAGCTGCAACAACTAAATTGGTTTGCACTCGTAACTTCAAAAGAAAGTATTGACATTTTTTTTTACAGTGAGAGTCACTTTTTACAAGGCCCGGGGCCCAATCAAAATAGAGGGTTACGTTAGGAGGCCATTTGTGTGTATAGGTGAGGGTGGTAATGATTAACACTAGCCTTGAATGGGTTAAGATTGTAGTGATCGGGGAAACATCCTGTTTGGAGTCGATCCCACAGGGAAGTGGTTTGCAGTGGTTTTTGCTACTATATAAATGGTGTTTTCTTCAAGATGTCAACATTCTACATCACATCAAATAGAAGATTTGGAAGGATAACCTCATCAACACTAGAACGAACGATAACAGCTACTGCACTTGAGAAACATGTTTTCATAAAATAAAAGAGTTTTAAGAGAGATATTTTATAAATTTCAGCCGAAAGAAGAACTATCTACTCGTGACTACGGAGTTGAGACAAATCACTGTGATCGTTCTGATATGACCAGAACTCCCGAATTTGATGGTGAGAGACTCAGACTCAAAACAGACGCCTACATCAAGTACCTTGAGAAGGTAGAGCTGACCTGGGTCAAG